TTCTTTGATGGCTTTCTTACCCCAAATCTGTACGCAGTGGCTCTGTGAGCTGAGACGCAACTGTTTCTTGTGATTCCCTGGGTGAAGTGCACTAGAATGCTGTATAAACATGGGAGGCTTTCATCTTCCTTCTTTCTTCTGTTTTACCAGAAGCCTCTTAGTTGCTAAGAAAAACTCTCCAGAGTGTGCTTAAAGCACCGTATTTCAGTTCTGCGTAGACAGAATGAGATCCTATAGAGAACTCCCACCACACACATGAATTGGAGCAGAGGTATGCATTATAATAATACTCAAATCCCCATGTGAAATCACCGCTCAAAGTGGCCTTAATTTTTTAATTCCACATCACACAATTTTCTTGCTAGTTGATCTAGGGGAAGAAAGGATTACAAAAGAAAGACTATACTACAAAGCTATATTACAAACAAGACTGTAAAAACAAAGTGTCTATGTACGAAATATAAAACATCATATTTGGAACAAATATACCATTGGCAATTGTAAGTAGTAGTAGAGTAGAAGGCAATAACAACAAATCAGAAATGTGTGATATAGTGTGAAATTAGTGTAATTAGTGGTTATTGTATTTGCTTCAACTGTGGATAACAATATGAAAGCACTGGGAGGCAACAGATATGGCATACAAAATTACACATCAAAAATTTGGCACAGAGTCAATCACGAAAGTCTTAAGAGTCTTGGGGAAATCTGTTTTGTGTGGATTCTGAACCATATTGTTGATACAGTGTCTGGAAAATCACAGCAGGATACTACTGTTTGGTACTGAAATATGTACTAGGGGCTTTGTACAATCCTGAATCTTAGACTGTGGATCTTTGGGCCAGGGGGTGTTGTTCACACAAGTGGCCTAATATATCTATTACAATATAAGACAGAAACATAACCACTACAAGTCTGTTTTTCTGTTTCTCCAATGTCACATAGCTTCTTTACCTGACAGCATCTTTTGTCCAGTATTAATCCAAATGACACTTAACAACACAGTAAGATGTAGTGCTCGTGTTTTTTATACCTCAGTACAAAACCAGCACTCCATCGGTGATGTATTCACAGCTGCAGGGAGCATCCTGCAGTGAATACTTTCATCATTTAAAGCCATGTATTCAGAAGTCTATTTAATTAGTTGGTCACATTCCTTCTAAAGTGTATTGCCACTTTGTTAAAGGAGGTTGGCTGTATGCTTAGATCAATATGTAAATAAAAGGGAAAGCAGACAGTGGTTTGGGAACTATGAAGGTGGGATAAATTTTATTTCTCAGACAATCCACTGATCCTGAAGAGGACAACAAGTTTTCCATGTTTCCAAGCATGCTATTATGATCACATATCTACCACTCTATGATCTCAGAGGCTTTGGAAGAACAATTTTCTTCCCAAGAGGACATAAAATTTAGCCTCTATGACATGAGGTAAAAAGAAAGAGAAGGAAAATACTGGCCTTTTGGTAATACCCTCATAATAGCAGAGTAAGGTGGTTATAAACCAAGATTTGCTGTGCAGCTTTCACCTCTTAACAGATTTTTGATGACATCTCCTGAACATAGTCTCTAGGTTGAGACTAGACTGCTATTAGCAGAGTCTGTACTCTCTGCTAGAGACTGCATTATCCACATATAATTTATAATACCATGAAATTAGACTACTTGATTTTTGGTTTTGATGTTTTGTCACTTTGGAGGGAAAACAGTCAAATAGGAGGCGGCCTTATCCATCTGATGCATCTGTAACAGCATCATCAATATCTATGCAAAAAAGATAGAGGTACGTCCAGAACAGGCAGCAAACCATTCAGAGACAGCCTGAAAACTGAAAACACTTTCAACTATTTTTCATGGTGGTTTAGTGTTAACAACAGAGCCTTCCTTTTAATGTGAGTTTACCTTTACAATTGCTAATGCAAAACTGGATGATACTCATAAACTTATCTGTACTAACGTACTTGACAGCTTTTATAAAACTAGTTCATTTTAGAATATTTAAACTTTGCAAGTCTTTTGAGTTCTCATGTGTGATGAAAGAAACTCCCCACAACATGCACTTTGTATGTGGCTTTAATTACCTGCAACGTGTGTCAGTTGTATTCAGGATGTTCCCAGGTGCCCTTTCGTTCGTGTTGACTGAAAGTTCTCCCAGGGATCACTGACCGAGCCCTGGTGGGAGAAAGCCCTAGTGCGGTAGGTTCATTTGGACTGAGGACCTGAACAAGCCACTCACAGGCAGTGAGTATTACAAGCTTAAAAAAAAAAAAGGTTAGGGCATAAAATGTCACCCAATTCCCCCACACCCTGAGCCACCTGTAATTGCTTACTTCTGAATGCACGGCTTCCAAACTGTTCGGCTCTGCAGAGGTACCATTTACTTACCTTTCTCAAGTGAAACAAATGCTCAGAATAGCACCTAGCAAAGAATCAGGCAAAGCGTGCTCCTCTAAAACACCATCTTGAACATCCATAAAGTATTACCTGTGTTAACAGAAAAATTAATCTCACTTTTCTCACCACTGCTATTTTTTTCAGGCTGCTGAAAATAAGACCCATGGGCCTTACATCCACTGTATGCAATAAGGTTTTTCATACACTGCCACCTGCCGTTTCAGTGTACGTGTTCCATCACTGCACTGTACCGCTGGGGTTTTTATCCCAGGAGTAAGCACAGCTTTCCACGAAGTCTGTTAAAAGTGCAGTCAAGTTGGAAGATCTGCTTTAATTTACCCATGCTCTGCCTGAGACAGCATTCTAACTAACTATTCTGCTTTCACCTGTGGCAATGGCCAAACAGCACGAAGTTCAACAAGTCAAAATGCAAGGCCCTGCACCTGGGTTGGGCTAATCCCAGGCAGAGATACAAACTGGGCACAGAGTGGGTTGAGAGTAGCCCTGAAGAGAAGGACTTGGAGGTGTTGACAGATGTGAAGCCCAGCATGAGCCGGCAGTGCGCTCATGCAGCCCAGACGGCCAACCACATCCTGGGATGCATCAAGAGGAGTCTGGGCAGCAGATCAAGAGAGGGGATTCTCCCCCCTCACTCTGCTCTTGATACCCCACCTTAAATACTGCGTCCAGTTCCGGTCCCCACGGTACGAGGGATATGGATCTGCTGGAATGAGTTCAGAGGAGGCCACAAAGATGATCCAGGGGCTGGAGAACCTCTGCTATGAGGACAGGCTGAGGGAACTGGGATTGTTCAGGCCTGGAGAAGAGAAGACTGTAGGGGGACCTTAAAACTGCCTTCCAGTACCTGAAGGGAACCTACAGGAAGGCTGGAGAGTGACTTTTTACAAGAGTGTCCACTGATACGACAAGGGGAAATGGATTTAAGTTAAATAGATTTAGATTGGATCTTAGGAAAAAATTCTTCAGTACAAGGGTGGCAAGACTCTGGAATAAATTGTCCAGAGAAGCTGTAGATGCCCCCTCCCTTGAGGTGTTCAAGGCCAGGTTGGATGAGGCCTTGAGCAACCTGGTCTAGTTGAGAGGCGTCCCTGCCCACGGCAGGGAGGTTGGATCAGACGATCTCTAAGGTCCCTTCCAGCGTAGGCCATTCTATGAAATTAGTGCTGGTTACTCTCCCACTTACAAGCGGGATACGAGTTTGAAAACACAAGTTTAAAGATACAAGTTTGTATCTTTATTCAGACCACTGACAGAGTACTCATGTTCTAAACCCGCAGTAAAGTTACAGCAGAACATACACACATGTTGCAAACTTTGCATGTATTTATACACACCATGCCAGTACATTCAGACAGCTGTTTCAAAATATGGATGTTTAGTTACAGTTTGCATATATTTAAGCTGTGGATTTGAATCTAAAATCTGATCTGTTAGCACCTTGTTCCCTAAATCTGTATTATAAAAACTACAACAAGTTTCAGAAGCTAGCAGCAAAGTATTAACAATCTGTGTGTAACTGAACAAAGAGTGATCATGGTGTGCTGGAGAGCAATCCTGAAGCAGTCAGGCACACGCGACGCTCGGATACAGGGTGCCAACCAGCTGGCAAAATGTTAAAAGCAAAATTCAGGCTAAAGGTATTTAAAGCCTGTGCACATGCTTTGTCTGAAAGGAAATCTCTGGCCTTAGATACTCACCTGTAATTCAGAAGGCAAATTCCTTGCTCTCTTATTTCCTCCATGATCTGGGGCAGCTCTCGTAACTTCTGCCCCTGTAGCTCATCTGCCCCACACCGCTAATGAAGTTCCTTCCTCTCCTACCCATTTCTTTTGCAAGATCTCTAGCTAGAGATGTTTCTATGTGCCCTACAGGCTCATTACTGTTTTGGGCTTGGGCATCATCTGACTGGGACTTAAATGCTTCTAGATCTACACTGACCAGGGAAAAGCTCCACGTTTTCAGGGCCTCAAGTAGCATGTTCCCCTGGGTCTGGAAAGGTCACAGACAGCAAAAGGCACGGTCCAGGATGAAGACGCAGCCTGGACGAACTTCTTAGAGCTCAAAGTTGACTGTACAAGCAAAGGACGATATTTCTGTGGCCAAAGAGAGCAAAATAAACATGGTTTTAAAGTGGAAGTGGCAAGATTTAACAATCATGTGAAAACAGATCAAAATCTCTGCTTGTTCCAGCAAAAGGTTAGCTCAGAAAACACACAGGATCCATGACAGTCTCCAAAAAGCAGAAGCCTTTACATAACAGGAAGCTATTCAGCCTGAACTCAGTACAAAATTCCTGGTTATAAACATTTGCAGTGGAAGGTAGAGGGGGAAAAAAAAAAAAAGAAAAAAAGAATGTTATGGACAAGCTTGAAGCCATGGGGACAAACTTCCAAAAGGCTAGATGTTTTTGTCTTCCTTACAGCAGAAGAGGGACCTAAGCAATACATCTAAGAACTTGTGTATTTAAAAATGCAGAAAGGCACAGAAGAGTTGGTAATGTTCGTTGCATCCACAAAAATATGTTTATTTGCATATGCAAATATTTACAGGGTATTTGTTTATTGTTACTGAAAACCGTATACTCACGATTTAAATAATAAGTTGACTTGCCATTTAAAACTGTAAACTAAATCTTAATAACTGCAACTGACAGTTTTACTCCCCGAAGGCTAAAGAAATTGGGGCTTCTTTCTGTTCTTTATGCAACTGTTTTGCCCTGTTTTTCAAATCCTCTGCCTTAGCATCGTTCTTCTCAACGCCATCTCCCAGTTTGTACATTCGACTGGCATTGGCACAAGCCCAGATGTGACCCAGCTCACAACCTTTCAGTGAGTACTTCAAAGCATTGTTCATGTCCTTGGGGACCCCAGGAGCTCCCTGCAGGTATATCACACTGAGGTTGAAGCAGCTCGGAGCAAAACTGCCATCACAAGCTTTTGTGTAATAGTCTCTAGCAACAACGGGGTCGGGTTTATCATCATTTACTCTCCCATCGTGGGCCAGCAGCCCTACGTTATGACACGCATTTACTGACTTCTTCCCACCTTTCACACATGACTTCATAAAAGAGTTGTAGGCAGCTTTCAGATCTAGGTCGAGTCCACCTGTCAGCCAAGAAACCAAAAGGTTACCGTGAGCACATGCTAAAACAGACAGGAGCTCTTTGGGAAATGGCATCCCTCACTTTAGATGCTACAGCCAAAATTTAGGACTTCAGAGACGCTATTGTTTCAGTCATATGTCTTCAAGTTAGGAAGCCCTCCCCTCTACTCCCCAGTAATTGTAACAGTTTATGCAGACCAAAAAACCAAACCAACCCCAAACCCACAAACGACTACTACATCTGTGGATTTCTTAATGGTTTACACTAGGCAAAGTATTCTTTGCTAGTATATGTACATGCATACACTGAGATCGTTACTAGTTCTGAACTACAGTAAAACATGTTCCTTACTAGTACCGTCATTTGGAAGAAGCCTCACTAGTTTAACTGTTTCCCATTAATGTACCAGCAGATATGTTTTGGGCAGATTTGGGGACTACTTATGTAAGCAATGTTACCAGTCTGCAAGCTTATTTCTTCCTTACTTTCTCTTAAAAAAAACCAGCGAGATGAGAAATCAAGGATTTAAGAACAAAACACATAGCAATGTCCAGAACTGGATATACTTATACAGACATAATTATTAAAAAAAAAAAAAAAATACACGTGGTTAACCTAAAGTAGATTCTTTTAAAAGAAGCAGTTTAAGGTTTTGCACCCTTCCCCAGCTTTTATTATGTGACCATAAAAGGGGCAGGACAGGTAGTTCCTCATTCAAGGTCAGGAGGAAATGCACCTGTTCAGAACTTTTGCAGAACCAAGCTCTGTGTT